GCAGCCTGCAGATATTTAGTGACATTTCCCATTAAATGGAATTTATATATATATATAGCACTTCAAAAGGAAAAAAGCAATGGGGGAAAACATCGAAAATTAGCTATAGCGATAATCTAATGATATTTTTTGTCTTTCTGATAAGACAACACAAACTGTTTTATCAGCTTAGACTGGTAATAGGGGTAAAGACTCTCACATCCAGCGAAATATTAACAGTGATAAATCAAGATTTGCAGAGTATAGTTTGAAGCCAACTCAATGAGTTTATGTTTCTGTGGAGTATCAATCTTAGTTTATTATGACATATATAAACATACAAACAACAGGGGACCTGTGGCATCTTTAAACTAACAGAATGTAGCGTATGGCACAATAAATGTGTTTGCTTGAATCAAATGTTGTCAGAATGGAAGGATGCCTTAGTCTGCACCAGAGGATGTGCCAAATCTTCAGAGCAGATTTGGAGAAGTTGGGGTGGGAGATGGCTGCAAGGGAATGGAAAGGAACATGAAGTCTTCTTGTGCAAGTTAAAGTGCTCTCAGACAACACTGGGTGACATCTGTTGCCTTTAAGGTACAATAAAGCAGGGTTTTATTTTATTTATTAAGATCATTTACAAACTGCATTTGTTTAGTTGTTTTGCTTGAGTACAGAACTGTTGAAGAACACGTTTAATATGTTGGAGGGAGAAGCCTTGAATGTGAAAAGGAAAAGTTGGGTTTTCAGTATAAAAGAATGGGTATTTGAGAGAGCCATGTTAGTACATGTTAATATTTCAGTCCCGAGATATCGCATCTGCTGCTAGCTCCTTGAGGTATCATTCAGAGAATCAACTACACTAAAAATCTCAGGCAGTCTGATGCTATGTAATAAGCACTCGGTTCAGTTGTACATACTTCCTTGCAGGTGGAGCAAGGCTGCGACGTCTGTTGTTGTTTTTACAGCTCTGCCAGATACTTAAAGCCCTTTCATGAATCACATTTGTCCTCCTGCCTCTGTCCCTAAGCTGAATGAAGAAGTGAATGAGGACCCACTCAGACCCATGGTAACACTGCACACAGTTATTTACTTATCCTGGTGGACCCTAACACTTTCTTTAATATCACTTGTTCAGAACACTATAAAGAAGACTGATTTCATGAGCCATTAACTATTTTTCTTGTTACTTTCAAGCTGAGCACACAGATATAATTGTTTTTGTAACAGTTCCGTCATCTCACTTTAAGTGGACACAGTTTAAATGTGACTAAAAGGTAAAGGTACCCCTGACCATTAGGTCCAGTTGTGGATGACTCTGTGGTTGTGGTGCTCATCTCACTCTATAGGCCGAGGGAGCTGGCATTTGTCCGCAGACAGCTTCCAGGTCATGTGGCCAGTATGACTAAGCCGCTTCTGGTGCAACGGAACACCAAAACCAGAGCAGCACACGGAAATGCCATTTACCTCCCACCAGAGCGGTACCTATTTATCTACTTGCACTTGATGTGCTTTCAAACTGCTAGGTTGGCAGGAGCAGGGACCGAGCAATGGGAGCTCACCCCATCGTGGGGATTCGAACCGCCAACCTTCTGATTAGCAAGCCCTAGGCTCTGTGGTTTAGACCACAGTGCCACCCGTGTCCCTGGATAAAATGTGACTACTTTACTATAATTATTTTTCTTCCTGAATCCACACAATATTAAACAACAGATATATGCAAACTGAGCAGAAATGTACGCAAGTGTCACAGTCCTGTGCTGCCCAGCTACAACAGATCTCAGGGGGGGGGGGGAGCCAGCCAACCAGTCAAGTATCAGGAGGGTACTTGCCTGGAGGCAAAGTCCGTATGCAAGGTTCAGTCCAGTCCTAAGGTCAGGAGTATCTGAGTCACGTAGTCAGATGATCCAGGGGTCAAGAAAGTTGAGAGACCAATGTCTTGAGAAGCAAGAAGCAGTAAGGTCTGGTCAGACAAATGTTGTTTCCAGCAACTGATGTTGGAAACCCTGCTTAAGAAAGCTGGAGCCAGCTGGTTCTCATCAGGAGCAAGGCTGATCAGCAGCAGGTAGAGTCACTTCACCTTCTGCTCCTTCAGGCTGCTGCTCAGCAGGTGAAGCCGACTCCAGGCCTATGGCACTAAGGAGGATCAGAATCCTATCTACTCTTTTTCTTAACACCGTTAATACAGTTGCGACTTGACTTCGAGGAGCAACTCATAGCACGCGGTGTGGTAGCCTTTTTTGAGGTTTTTGAAGACTTTGGTGATTTTTGAAGCTTTTCCAAAACTTTCCCGAAACCGTGCTTCGCAAGGCGAAAAAAATCGCAAGGCGAAAAAAATCGCAAGGCGAAAAAAATCGCGGAACGAATTCATTTCGTCTTGCACTAGTCTTGCTCCCAGGATTCATGTATCAGTGCCCAGGAGCTGAAGCCCAATGGCCTTTGCTCTGACTGCAGGATCTGCACTCTGCTACAGACTGCACAATTAAAGCTTATGTCTATAGGCTTCTAAAAACAAATATCATCAACACATGAAGGTTGAGGGGTGGCCATAGAATCATCGAGTTGTAGAGGACCCTGATGATCATCCAGTCTGACCCCTGCAATGCAGGCATATGCATACAGGGATTGAACCTGCAACCTTGGCGTTATCAGCACTACACTCTAACCAACTGAGCCTATTTTTTGAAACACCATAAAGAGACCTTATCAAAGTGTCAAAGAGTTTAGTACTGAAGTCCTAAAGTATCTGCCGTAGAATATTAGTTTCCAATGCTGGAAAAATATTCCCACACCTCTAGTATAATGGTCTGGTTTGTGATATTAAAGTCCATGCAGCAGTTGGCGTGTGGAGCAGTTTAAGCACTTGCATGGTGTTGTAGCGTGTCTCAGGTGATCAATTTTTACAAATGTTAGCCAACTGACCTTCCGAAGATCAAACAGAAATAGGTCCTGTGTAAAGAACAGTCCCTAACTATGAGAAGCTATAACTCCCTGCTTTCCTATAACATTAATTTTACACAAAAAATACAGTAAAATTTCCTGTATGCAAGTGTCTGTATTGCATACAGTTATCAATTAAAGCCCAATGACAGGTGTTGTATCATACTAGAGCCACAATTCACTAAGACCAGACTCAATTAGATTGAACCTGAAATAAGTGTTCAGAAGAGAAACGAAACCAATGTATGGTACTTTTGGGAATGGTCTGATTAAAGGAACATTCTGACTAAGGGCATGTTCACACTGCGTGATAATGTACATTCGGTGCTGGATGCAAGTACCTTAGGGGAGTGCTGTACACATGATGTCAGCTCTGTCTTGCACCTGTCTCACACTATTTGTTGCTGTGAAAGACATTCTGTTGGTAGGGCTATAATCCATTTTGTGCGAGAATGCAATTCTCATGCACTTGCTACACACATGTGTACACAAGGGAGTGCTTTTTCAGGTCACCTCCTCTTGGGGCAGACCTGCTGATGCTGCAGGGATGTGCCACTTCCCCTCGCAATTTAACTTTTCTATGAATGAGAAAGGTAAAATAGGAAGCAATACAGACACTTAGCTACCTCTACAAACAGATTTATATCCTTAGTCTATCAGTCCAGACCCTCTCTTTTAAAAGACTGCATTATTTAAAAAAGAGGTCTGTGGGAAAAGTAATTGAAGAGATGAGTTAGCACTTCTGCGCACTAATTTGAAAGGACACCCACCTGCCTGTTCACAAAACATGGATCGTAGCTGGTGCTTTAGATGTGTTGTGTTAAAATGTGTACAAATGCAAACTGCTATGTACAAAAGTGCACTGTGGGGAAAAAGCGACTTCTGCATTTCAAAGGCCTAAGGATGCACTCCTATGACACTTACTTGGGAGAAAGCCCTAATGGACAAACCAAGCCTTATTTCTAAGGAAACACACATAGAATTGGATTGCATGACTGTAGTCCAAAGCATATCTACCTGGAAGATCTGAAAGCAGTGAACGTTGAAAATTGGTAATACTGGGTGTTAAGCCGATAGCTCCATTAGTTCCTCAGTTTTCTGATGCAGTCACCCTCCCACAACCCTAATCATGCAGGTGGTCTTGCGTTTGCATCTTCTGTTTATGTGCACCACTGGGAGCTACCACTGTCAGACCAATTCCAAAACTATTTTATGCAAATGACGATGTGTCACATCTGCCTTCTTTGATGACAGAATGTTTTGTTCTAGATAAAAAAATTCCTTCCAGTAGCACCTTAGAGACCAACTAAGTTTGTTCTTGGTGTGAGCTTTCATGTGCATACACACTTCTTCAGATACACTGAAACAGAAGTCACCAGACATATAGTGATTTCTGCCTAGTGACATCTATTTCAGTATATCTGAAGAAGTGTGCATGCACACGAAAGCTCATGCCAATAACAAACTTAGTTGGTCTCTAAGGTGCTACTGGAAGGATTTTTATTTTTATTTTGTTTTGACCACAACAGACCAACATGGCTACCTACCTGTTTTGTTCTAGGTATCAGCAATTTATTAAGATAATGTGACAATAACATAAATGAAAGAAAAAGATTATAAATAAAAGGAGAAGGAAAATGTAAGACTGCAAAACTACTGGGAGCAAAAGGCATAGACATTGACACAGTGTTGCCATCTACTCCCATAACTGCTACTTGGGCTTGAGAGATGGGAAGAATGAATAAAGATCACATTATAAAATGCAAAATTGTATTTCAGACACCATTTAGGAAATTTGCAATTTCTTCAAACTGCAAACTTAATTGTGAGATTTCCCCTTGAACTTTCAGGTCTGTAAACACTATTCTAATTATACACAGGCTCCATTTCTGAAATCTCTGTTCTTGGCATAAGCCATTTTAGTCATGCTTCCAAGTAACAGAAGAGCACCTTGAGTTTGGAATTTGAAGAGGTAATTGTGACATCTAGTCAATGTGAGAGGCCATTGGAACGCTTCTGCCCAAGTATGTGTCAGTTATTGATAACTGTACCACTTTAAACCATTATCCCTCACTACTCACTTGCCATTTAATGCTGCCACACCGACTGTGCTTCTGGCAATAGACATGCTGGCTACAAAAGTCCACTGCTGACTTTGGGGGTCCCACCTCTCGACTGTGTTCAGATAGCTCCAACCATCATGGCCTCCAACTGCATAAATTGGCCCTTCGAGAACAGTAACTCCTAGAAAGATAGTCAGAGGAAGAAGATAACAATATATCCAACAAATGAAAGGCCAGCTCTGTAAAGGCCAACATGCATGGACCAATCAAATAGGTCAATCTGCTTCTCATATGGCAGTAAACCCCTATGTGACAGCATGTGGGGCTCCTAGAGGAATGCTGGCTGGACAATCCTTGCCTGAAAGGACTGTGTGAACTGACAGTTCCACTGGAATGGTGCCTAGGTAGCCACCAATATTTGCATGGCAGTGGCAGCACTCTTGCAGAAATTGCATGGGGTCCATTTGATGTAAGAACTAGGTGGGAAACTGGCAAGCAGGACAAAAAAACCCACAAGAGCCTACCTGGTTTCAGATCCCCCAGAAACTGGTATTCAGAGGCGTACTGCCTCCAACAGTATGCTAGCTGCTGCTGCTATCCTTATCCTCCACTAATTTGTATAATTCTCTTTTAAAAGGCATCCATGTTGGTGGCGACCACACCCCCCCCCCAAGTATGAAAAAGTACCTTATTTTATCTGTCCTGAGTCTTCCAACATTCAGATTCCTTGGATGTTCATGAGGACTAGTGTTAGAGGGAGAAAAACTTTTCTCTATCCACTTTCTCCCTGCCTTGTTGACACTCTCAAAGAACCCTTATAGGCTCGAGAGATAAGACTTATCCTCTCTCTTCCTCCTACCCTCATAGGAATGCTTCCTTCCCCCCCCTTTTTCCTTTCGACTGAGAAAGAAAGGGGCAGGGAAGTTGCAGGAAGGGCTGTGTAGCAGCAAGGGGAGGATGCACACACCAGCAGGAGTAAAGGTAGGTGAGATACCTGGCTCAAAAGGGGTCTAGCCCACCTTGAAATGGAGCCAGACTTCTCAAGCAGGGAGAGTTAAAATGCCAAGCCCCCGCAAATTCTCATGCCATTTCTAGTAATAACCTATGATTTGTCTTACTGGATCAGACCCAAGTCTATCCAGGCATGCATTCCGTTTCCAACAGTGGACTTCTGGGCACACCCAATCAAGGCATGAAGGAGAGGGTCTTCCCCTGTTCTCTTTCCACAGCATGAGACATTTCTTACTCTCATAGAATGGTGTTTCCTTCAGCTTTCATGGCTAGTAACCTTTTATGTGTCCCCCCCCCCAATATTATTCAAATTGCAGCAGCTGCATGCATAGCAACCACATTCTCACAGTTTGTCTTTTTGCCACAGTGAAAGTCCACCTGCAATCCCAATGACAGCTTCTCATGCACCAACACAGCTCATAAGAGGGCTGCCATGAACATTGGTTCTTGGGCTTGCAGAAAAATAGTATACCCGAGATATATTGCTCATTTTCAGACTTCAGAACTCTTGACCTATCTTAAACAATTCCAGGTTTTGTAATGTTAATAGCATTGGTGATTTTAAGTGTTTCTCAAACCTCTCTCCTTGAGATAGTGGAAGATGGATTTTCTGAGGCAGAACAGTAGCTTGAGAAAGACAAACTGTTTCAAAGATAGCTAAGGCTAAAAGTCCTCTTTTCGAATGAACTTTTCGGTTCATTTCTTTTAATAGCTAGAACTCAATTTATTTTTAAGTAGTCTGTAGTGAAATGTCAGACTGTTGTTCCTATTAGCACATGGTAGCACCTCTGTTCTAAGGCCACAAGTGCAACATTCTATATAAACTGTATTTTTTTCTAGTAGGTGCACCTGAATGTGGGACAGTCCCTTGGGATTAAACACTGCTAGCTGCCTTGACAACTTCTACCTGATGTGATGATTCTGCACTTAGTCATACCCATACCTTTTGGCAGCTAATTTATACCTGGGACCTGTTGGAAGATGTTTTTTATTAGAGGTTTATTCAAATTATTAGAAGTTGTTTGCTGAATATTGTACGCGGTATACAGCTGCACACTGAGTTGGACACCATATTAATGTAGCAATATACTTCTCCCTGCAAAGATCATAAAATTGTTCATGATCAAAGCACATGGACTTGTAGTTGAGAAACTGAGATCACCTGAGTTCTGTTGCAGGGCTTTGCTCTGTGAAGGAAAGCTGCATAATAATTCATGGCATAGCATGCACTCTGCATGGAGACATTCATGCTGTATAGATATTTTCCTGCGTAATTCACTGAGGTTTAGTACTTGCTCTAGGCTTTCATCAAATGTAAAATAAGAAATGGCTGTATCTGAGATTCAACCTTTTATTGTCATGGTTTTGCATATCAATTTTAAAAGTCATAAGGTTATTGTCCAATGTGTGTATCGAACTCCTATTTCTATGCCTTTTTTTTTTACTTCACCAAATGGGCTTTAAAGTATTCCATTGACTCAGAGAGCAGATGCCATTGCTGAAACAATATATCTGAATTATTTTAATTACATTTGTAGGGTTTCACATTTTTCTGGAGCAGACATGAAAATTCTCTCGACGATGCTATGTTAATCTGAATTTTGTTCTCCTAGATGGCAAAATGCTTGTTGTTCTCTTAATATTCCCCTCACAGCTCTCTGGAGGCAGTGGTCAACACAGTACACAGACAGAGAATGGACTGAACCCCCAACTTATATCTAAACCATCCATGGTGCATCTTTTTCCATGAAATCTCCCCAGGCATATTATTGCATTGTTCTTGTCAGGAAGTCATTCATTACTTTATTTCTAACAAAGCAATTTTGTGGCGGTTTGGGCCAGGAGGGGGAGAATCTATGAAGGAGTTACTGCCACTTCTTACACCTTGTGGCTAGGGTGGCAGGGGCCTTTTTGCAAATACTTTTTTTCTCCAGCTCTCCTTTCCATTGACGCAAACTATCGAGAACTATTATTGTTCTTATTCTTGAAACCAGTGCTTTTTCTTTCTCCAGAGAAAAAGCTGCTGGAACACCACTTCCCTCAGAAGACTGACCCCAAAGAGGGGCAGCATGGGGGCTTGCTCAGCTAAGGTGCAGCTTTCCCGTCCACCAGCTGTTAGCTGGGAGGCAATCACTCACCAAAGCTCCGCTGCACCTCTGGCTCAGGAGGAGAGGATATCCCCATGTGGGGTCCAGGGAGGGTCTCCTCATGAGCCAAAGGCACAGTGGGGCTTTGATAAAGGTGGTTAGATCTCTCCCTGCCCTTTTGGTGCCCACCTGAGAGGTGCCAGAATGCCATCCTGGCACATTCCAGCTGAAAAAAAGAACCTTGGTTGAAATTAGCTATACCAACTCCAGAGCACGTGTACTTATTGGATCTTATTTGACATGTTAGGGAAGGATGCACTTTTCAGTTCGTATTATTGTAAAATATGTATATACCACCTTCCCAGGCAAGGTCCACACATGGCAGCTTGCACAGAATAAAAACCACAAATATAAAAATTATTACTAAAATGAAGAATAAAACAGATAAAAAGAAATGCAGTCCTAGCTTGTGTTCACTGAGAATACTGATGGACGGGGCCGGCCCCAAAACTTTAGGCACCTGAAACAAGATAGACCACCGACATTTCCCCCTGCCCACAGATCTGGGCCCATCCCAGGTGGGGTGGGAGGTTGCCTCACTTAACCTCATTGGTGTGCTTGCCATGCTAGGGCAGTAAGCTTCCTTAGGGGCTGCAGGGCAGACCACATGGCACTCCTTCTAGCGACTTTCCAGCTGCCTCACTCTGCCTCATGGTAGGAGCAGCCCTGCTGATGGATGTGTGTGTAGATTTAATGTACCTGATTTACATTTATGTGCATCTACGCCCACAGAACTTCAATGAGGCATAATGGGGGCTCTTTGAGGGGTACAGGTGTTGTTCCATTAACAGAGTTTCTCTCTAAATATATAAAAAAGTAATAAAAATTGTCCAGTAGCACCTTAGAGACCAACTACCGGTAAGTTTGTTCTTGGTATAAGCTACCATGTGCATGCACACTTCTTCAGGTACATTTTTATATATATTTCGGCTGCTTCAGACCAACACGGCTACCTACCTGAACCTAGAGTTTCTCTCTGTCTGCCACTGTAGTGGCACACATACATATTCCAAAGTCCCCTCTCTTCAGGTATTTTTTATTTGTAGCATATTCTCTCTCTCTCTCTCTCCGAGTGTATAACAAGTCTGTGTGTGTTTTGTTTAAAAACAGAATTCTGTACTACCAATAGGAAAATAAGTTACATCAGGGTTTAGTTATACAACTTCTAGATTTCAAAAAGAAGTTATAGAAGGGGAAGGGAAGCTGCAGAAGAAAGCATATAGTATTTTGCTAGAATGGGAAACAAAAGATGAGGCGGTCAAATCGGTTATGATCAAGTGGGCACAGGACAATAGGACATAATATACAATTCGAGGATTGGGAAAAACTGTGGAAAGTAAATTTGAAATTTACAGATTGTTCTCTCTTGAAAGAAAATTATATGAAAATGATGTATAGATGGTATACTACACCAGTACAGATTGCAAAAATGTATAAAACCAGGTCAAATATATGTTGGAAATGTAAAGAAAAAGAAGGGACTTTTTATCATATGTGGTGGGAATGTAGTGGGAAATTTAAAAAAAAAATTGGGAAATGATATACAATGAATTGAAAAAAATGTTTAAAATGACATTTGTAGAAAAACCAGAAACATTTTTGTTAGGGATTGTAGGACAAGACCTGCCAAGAAAAACAAAGAATTTATTTATGTATGCCACAACAGCAGCGAGAGTCTTGATAGCACAAGGATGGAAGAATGAGGAAATCCCAAAGAAAGAACAGTGGCAAGAAAAACTGATGAGCTACGCAAAGTTTGCTAAATATAATTGCGGGACAAGGACAACTGTGACTTTAAGGAAGAATAGGAGCTTTTTACAAATTACCTAAAAAGACAACAAAATGAACTGGACTCCTTGCCAGGTTCTGAATAAACATACACAAATTTATTGGTTGATAACATGTTAGATAGATAATGTAGGGATATGTACAATTTTATAACATGCAGAGAATAATATGGGCTGAGAAATCAGAGAGAGGAGCTGAGGGAAGTCCTTAGTGGGGGGGGGAGGGAAGGAGGGAA